TTTCCAATGCCTTATTCAAAATAGAAGACAGACTGTCATTTACGCATGGCCAGCCCCGTATTCGATATTCATAAGCACCGATTACGACCGTTTATCAAGGATGTTGAATTCCAGCATTTTGAGAACAACGAATAAAATGACCGTGTAGATATAGGCCAGTAGACAACTGTTCACCGCTTTGATTAAGAAGCTGTTGGTTGTTTCATATTGTATGTTTTTTATACTCTTAGTTTTAATACTTTAGAGACTAGTTTTGTTAGATATAGATACGTGTTGTTTACTTAAAAGTTATATGCTATGTAAAAGTTAAATACATATATTATAAACTTATATATAATAATTATATGTATATTAATATATGTATGTCAGCCAAAATAAAATTGACTTAGAAATATAAATAAGTTTTAACACACACAAAATTATAACATATACACTCACACTCGCTCCACGTACAAAATTAATTCTTTATGATGGGATATTAAATGGCCAATTTTACGAATTGCGTTCTGTCACACAAGAATGTAGAGAAAGAAAATCATACAATTAAAGACAAAATCTTTTGTATGTTTTGAAAGATTACACTGTTATGTTATTATATTAAGTAATATAAATAATAGCATATAATACGGTGGCGTTACGTTACTATATGTTAAAAATTTAATTAAAAGCATAGAGAAATCTTTCCAAATGGAAATTAACAGTTGAAATGAACTTTAGATTAAATAATAATGTATATTAATGTATTTCAAATCATACAAAAATTTCGAAAATAATTTACATGTGAAAATATCGTTCGTTTTTGTGTGACAGATTGCATAATAAATGTGGAATTATAAACTATTCATATTGACTGTTATTAGATTTCGATCCATGTGAAAATATTTTTATCTCTGGCGCGATTAAATCGAAATGATTCACGTATTATTTTTAAGGGTGATCAAATGATTTTCTATGAATAACTGATATAATTAAACCAATAATACTTTCCAATATTTATTTGTAGATTAATTAATAAAACTTACATATATTAATATAATCAGCGTTCGTTGAATCAAAATTGAATACGATACGCATAATAAGGACCAGTAGAGAAACACAACAAAAAACACAACAAAAACAAAAGTCTGAAATAGAAGTTTAAGTAAATAAATTGTTTTTTGCTATTATACACATATATTATATAAATATGATTTTAGAAGACGTTATTATATAAAAAAGAATAACTAAATTACAAAATATACAAAATATCATTGAAGAGAAATAAAGGAAAGAAAAGATGATGAAAAAGAAGAATCGGAAGAGAAGAATAGATAATTATAATTATATAATAATAAATATAAAATCAATTAAATAAATTTAATAACAAAAAAAATTATGTTTACAATCTTCAAGTATTAAAATTTATAAATATCATTTTTTTTACATTTATTTGTAAAAAAATGTCATATATATTTTAAGAAATATTAAAATAATTTCTCAATATCTTTTTGAGCCAATAATTTTACGATTATTTATTATTTTGAGCGCCAGGATATTTCAACAGAATAATTAAATAAATCGATTAAATATAATCGGTATGCGTGAAAATATAAAGAAAAGAAGTAAAAAGATAAACGTGTATTATGTAAATTAAATAATAAATTAAACAAAACTAAGTAATCTTGAGTAATTAACTAATAACATTTTTTAGTTTATTTTATTAATTAGTTTATATTGTTATAAGTATATGGATCGTTTCCACCAATGCAGATTGATTTTAATCTCGGTTCAACTTACTCTTTGTCTCTTTCTAGTTCTAAAGATTAAAAAAAGACGAAGTTGAACCGAGATTAAAGTTAATTTACGTTGGTGGAAACGGGCCTAAATCAAACAAAATGCAAAAAGTTTAAATAAAAAATAAAAAGTAAAAATGCAAACAAAACATCAATGATTTAAGTGAAGTATTTCACATGACTGATTGAAACTATCAATTTTCTTAGTATATTATACACTATTACAGTTTTTCAATACATAAACTAGTTTTCACTTTGGTCCAATTAATTAGTCATTTGTCTACGTGAAAAAGACCAACAATTGCCGGAAAATTTTCGGACCAAGGATTAACTGATGCGTGATTGTGATTACACATGAATTGTAAAATGTCATTTTTGTTTAAGATTGAGTATAAAATTGTGCTTGCATATTTTTAAATTAAATATCAAAATTAAATACGAAATTTCTGTATTTTTCAATATTTCCTTTTAATACATTAAAAGTTGAAAAATTAAATTTTAATAAAGATTTTCCAATAATATTTTTTTAATTAAACGTTATAAATTGCGATATTTAAAAAATACATTAAATTAACAACAATTTGAAAATATTTTTAGCAGGCAATTCACGATAAGTGCATCCTTTTCTTCAATATTTCATATAAAATAAAAAGAAGGATAGAATTGCCTAAAATAAGTTATTTATTAAAAAAAAGACATACTAAGGAAATTAAAGAAAATGTTTTTATAAGTATAATTTACAAGAATTGCGAAATTTTCTATAATTTTATCTTTTACTTTTGTATATTGTCATTTTGGGGCTGGCCGCACTGTTTTTCAAATATCAAGTTTTACCCATGACAATTTCTGCATTTTATCGAAAATGTAGATTTTCTACATATTCTTCCTTACTCCTTCTTTCTTCGATTTCACTTTTCCCTTCTCTTATACAAACAAGCACACGCACACATCACATAACACACATTACACATGACATGTATAATGCATGTATGTATTCTATAACTAATCTATATTCCATACTATCGTATGAAGGATACCTCATACTCTATGCTATTGTTCAATCTATCATCCTATCTTTACTGTCTTTATATGTCTCTAACGACGTAAACGATATTGTTAGCAAACAAAGGTATTTATGGCTATTGCTCCCTTGCGAAGGAGGGATAAAAGTGGCAGAAGTAAAAATATGAAAGATTTAGAGCCAGAATGGACCAATTTCATAAAACTTGTTTTAAATATTACGTTGTCGTTAAAGTATTAGTATTTCACTGATACTAATGCTTTATTAGCACTCTCCGGTACAAATAATGATATTAATACTAGTCGCATTAAAAATTGTAGTGTGCAGTCTGTAATAGTATTGATATTAATAATACAATTAATACTAGTACTTACTGATAATTACTTTGAAAAGAGTTACTTCATTTCGGTTATAAACATTATTATTACTTTACTAGTAAGGTACTAGTATTTAAATTATCATTAATAAACAGATAAATATTACTAATACCTTATTAATTTTTATACTATAATGCTAGTATTTGATACTAACATTTATATTTTTTTAATTTTGTATTAAGATTCAACTAGTATTTTCTATTAATATTTATTAAAAACTAACAATGTATATTCATGGAACATTTATTCTCTTTACGAGAATAAATCGTCAGGCAGCATCTTAATCTATGTTTATATTACTCGTTCCATCTTTCCTCTCTTTTTTTTCATCCCTTTTTCTCTCTCTTCCTCCTCCTCCTCCTCTTCCTCCTCCTCCTCCTCCTTCTCTCTCTCTCTCTCTCTCTCTCTCTCTCTCTCTCTCTCTCTCTCACGGAATTGTATTATTATTCATACTTGGTGCAATATGCTGATCTTGAATATTCTGTTGATACTAGTATTTTACTAGTAATCATTAGAGTGCCAGGAGAGAGTTAAATATCTTAAAGTTCATCGACTTGGTCCAACTATGCTTTAAACTTTTCGTATACAATTGCGGAGTCCATCTCATCGGCGATCTTTATCTATCAAAGGATAAGAATAAATTATGTACGAGATAGTCGGTGTGTTCCTTAGAAAACAGTTCTACAGATTAGAATTAAGAGATTGAAAGGTGGTTTCACAAACGGTGAAAACGTGCGGTGTGTACATCGCTTCACTGTAAAACTGCTTTTAAAGTTTAATATAGCGAACTGTTTTATAATGAAAAATAAACGAAGCTATCGTGCTACACCACGAGTACACCATAATTTATAATCAGTATAAATGAGTCACTCGAGATACGGATCATCTAATCTAATCTGATCTAATTACAAAACAATTTTTCTGACAAAATTGCGTACTCTGTCTTGATTTAACAAGAATCGAGACACTTATCGCCGGAAGAAAGCAATCTAAATTTAGAGGTATTGACGCATAACGTGGTGTAGGATGATCAATTAATTAACGGCTGCATCGCAGCAAGCGCAGGACACGCACGTTGTGAATTTTATACCGTGTAAGCGCGAACATACATACTGCTCGCCAGTAGACATACATACACGTGTATATATGTATTGTTATGTTATTGCCTAATAATTACGAAATAGAACGTTATGAGAATTATAATTCTTATTCTTTCTTTTCCCTCTTAACCAGTCATCTGTTTAAAAAAATTATTCAATCACGTCAGTATCTTGATTTGATCATGCTTTTGAAATAATCGTGATAAATAAAAAAAGTGGTTGTGATCAAGGATGATCATATTAATTATATGATATCATTTTATCAGTGAATCAGATTATTATCATAAAGAGTTTTTCATGTCACATTTTGTTGGCACGCGCGATTCGATAATAACGTCACAGCTTTGACCTATTCGCTATCATAAAAATATTATACATTATAATATAGAAGAGAACTATGTGTTGTAATTAGCAGATTATTTCATCAATTTGTAATTAATACTTAATAATTAATACTTAATTATTTTTTGTTATATTGTGTGATTAATATGTGCTAATTTCTTTGAAACTTTGCATTACTATTGTATTATCTTTTTTTGATCGTGATTAAGTATCCCTATCTTACATTATAACAGTTGGTTTCAATCGATATTGATAACATAGTTATCTGCGTTATGCAGAATTTAACGCGTCATTTTTTCATCATTCACAAGAGGACTATGTTAAGAACGACATTATAATATTGAAAAATATTTAAATTGATTGTGATTATCAAGAAGTGCAATTAACAGAGGAATTGCAAGATTTATTATCTCAGACGTGAGTTTCTTTAATAATAGATATTGCAATATATTGAGATATATAATTAATATTATATTTAAAAAAAAGTTTTAAGAATATTGATTAAATTTCTCACAATTTGTTTTTAACAGTAAATCGGACAATTTAATAATAATAGAATTACGCATGGTTCGCACAATTCTTCATGTAAGTGATATTATTTTTTCATAAAATAAATATAATTCTGCGACATAATTATAAAGATTTGATTGTAATTCTTGTATAGAAAGAGAGAGAGAGAGAGAGAGAGAGAGAGAGAGAGAGAGAGAGAGCAAATCAAATAATTTGATGACAAAAATTCGACAAGTGGACATTTAATAGTTTGACCATTAATTCATGTATTAAAAAAAATTTAGACGAAGCAATTAGAGTATTAAATTTATATCAAGATTCTACTTGTTTTGGCTCTAGCGAGCACGTCGAATTCGAAGGGACATTCGCGTGTTGGCGAATGTACATATATCCACTAATATATAGGACCTACAGTTTAACGCCGGATCCGAACGGCGCTGATGATCAAAGATCTCTTAGGGCCGGTTATTCCACCTTTTGCTAAATTTTATCTGTTAGGTAAATCTGGCAATCCGCGCATATGTTTGGGTAATCTTGCTACTTACCCGACAGGTAAAATTTATCAAAAGGTGGAAGAATCGGCTTTAAGTGTACTGATGAGGACCCGAACCGAGCGTCGAAACGTATACATTTACTTTCTTAATAAATTGCGTTTAAATTACACTCGGGCATCCTGTATTGATTCATATCGGCATTACTTATTGTTTTAGATTTAATCACTTGAGCCTATTTCATTTATTAATTTTGATCAATTTCCAACAAATTTTTATAATACAATAATCATTTTGCTTTAGGCATAAGAAATTTTTGACAAATTGAAACATTACCCAACTTAATACGCGATGTTAGCGTTTATACATTACATTATATTAATGAGTATCCTCGTGGTTTGGACAAATGGAATGGATAATGAGAAGCTTGCGGATAGAGAATGGTGGGAAACCACATTAATTTATCAAATCTGGCCCAGAGGATTTCAGGACAGTGATGGCGATGGTGAGGGTGATCTAAAGGGTAGGTCACACAAATTTATTGTTGTTACTAATAGAAAATTAATATAATATTAAAACTTTTTTTTATTACATACATGCAAGTTTGAGGAAAATATTAAAGATATCTTTCTGTTAACATATTTTATGCATATATTACTATATTGTATACATATATACAATATATGTATATTAAATATATAAATATATTAAATTATTTTTAATCATATATTATATGTTTGTGAAGTTATATTATTAATGCAATTTATTTATAGGTATTATTAGCCGACTCGATTATATCACGGATCTTGGAATTGAAACGATTTGTTTGAATCCTATTTATGTTTCACCATTAATCGATTCAGGATATGATGTCTCCAATTATACGGACATAGATCCTCTTTTCGGGAATTTAAATGACTTCGATAATTTGATGCGAGAGGCACACAATCGAGGTATAACATAGTAAATAATAATTCAATATATTATTCGGAATTTATAATATTTGCTACAATCTTTCACAATAAAAAAAACATTCAGGAAATTTTTCATAATTCACATAAATATTGGTTATTATACATACATGTTATATGTGTTCAATGTTTTATATACAATAATATTAATTTTTTAATCACTATTTATTTGTTATAATTTTATTATTAATCTTTTTAGGATTGAAAGTCATTCTGGATATTATTCCTAATCATTCCAGCGATCAGCACGAATGGTTCCAGTTGTCGGCAAAAAATGTTCAGCCATATACTGATTATTATATCTGGACCAACGGTAGCATCAATAAAAATGGCAAAAATATTCCACCAAATAATTGGGTACATTTTTCTCAGTTTTTATATTTTCCCAAATGTAATGTTCAATATTTTTTTTAATTAGATTGTTTTTATAAAGTTAAATAATTGAAAATTTTTAAAAAATACAATTACATGCAGGATTTGAGAAAAAAAGAGTGATTAATTCTTGATGAATTTTTAAATTTAATTTAAATATAATTTATATAAATAATAATTTAAAAAATTAGATAAAATAAACATATCTTTTTATATCTTTGGCACAGATAAGCACATACAACGTCGTAAATGGTTCTGCATGGTCATGGCACGATGGAAGACAACAATGGTACTATCATAAATTTCATAGTTCTCAGCCAGATCTTAATTTGAGAAACGAGAAAGTGATTAAGGAATTAATGGTAATTCGTAGAGATCGTCTTAAAATTAAATTTTTTATTCATGTTTTAAAAAATTTAAATTAAATAGTAAAATGTAAATTTAAAAAGATGAAATATAATTCAAATTTTTGGCATAATAATAATTTATAACTTTTTAAATAACTTTAAAACATTTAAAAAACAAATTTAAAACAAATTTAAAAGCAATTTAATTATTTTAATTGGCATATATTATTAATTTAAACAAAAATGATGTGATAAATTTAATTAATTACAATTAACACATATATTTTAGAATTTTTATCTTGAATTCTTATTCTTTACAAAATAATTTATAAATAATTTATTTCTTTAAACAGGATATATTTGACTTTTGGTTAGAAAGAAATGTCGATGGTTTTCGGATTAATGCAGTGCCTTATTTTTTCGAAGACAAAGCCTTAAGAAATGAATCCTTTGTAGGAAGGAATATTTACACTTTTGGTCTTCCTGAAAGCACTGCCCTTTTATATGTATTTCGTGAACATATTGATAACTGGATATCGAGAAATAACGCCACATCAAAGTATGATATCTAAAGATTTTTTTATCTTTAATTCTCTTTTATAATAATATTATTAACATATTACATTATAATATTATATAT